TCATCTGCTGAATCGCGTTGTGATCCTCGAACTGAAGGCAAACCAGGAGGTTCAGGAGGTGGTCCTGGACCGTTAGGCCCAAAAGGGTCCGGAGGTCCATCAGGGTCAGGCGGACCGCCCCATCCACTCGGTGGCTTGTAATAGTCCCTCTCAGTTCCGCCAGCGATCTTGTTGTCAACCTCTTTCAGCAGATCAGCGATTCTTTTGCTTGATTGAGAATGCTGTTGATGTTGAGGAGGTACGGCATGCCCACGATAGGAATGAGCCACATTTGTCTCATAAGTCAACTCCTTGTCGATCTGCGAAACCCAAGATTTCAGAATAGCGTTTTCACAGTTAGCCTCACTCACGTCATTCTCCAGTTTGTCGATGACCAGTCTGGATGCGAGATCGGAGTTGGGAATGCCTGCCGAATAGGGAAGTGTGTCAGGACTGATCCTAGCCATAGATGTTTCAGAATCCTTGAGACTTTTTCTCAGTTCATCTAAGTGACGTTTCATGTCAACAATCTCAGAATTCTTGATGCCAATCTTTTCATCCCTATCCTGGATTTCCCCCATGAACATGCATGATCTCTCATATTGTTGAACACCACTCGCCAATTTCAATTTTCGCTCACTCTCTAGTTCAGATCTTAGAGTTCGGACCTCAGCATTGGTGAGGGACGACGCCCCTACATCCGCGACTTCAGCCAACCTTTCTTTTAACAACAAGTTCTCTTGTAAGCATTCATGAACTTCATGATCTAGATCCTGAACCCTGATTTGAGCGATCTTAGCTTGATTACGTAGATCTTCAACAAGCATCTCTTCGGGGCCACGACCGTCGGTCGTAGAACCCTGAGTCAACGATCTTCGTAACTTCGTGTTCTGCAACTTGATCTCATCCTTCAATTCGCAGTTCATCTTCTGCTCGTTGGCATAGAGCTCCTCATAGTGCTCTGCCCTTGCGATCGAGTTTGCACTAGCCTGTGATTCAAGCCTCAGGTGAGATATTGCTTCGGCCTCTTGGTTCCTGTATGATGCAATTCTTCTGACGGTATCATGTTCAGTGTTTCGATGCTTCAGATCACTTTCCAATTTGGCCTGATTTGCCTCGAACACCTTCTTCCTAGATTCTCTAGTGATCTCATCAATACTGCTCTCATACAGCTCGGCCTGTTTACGAGACTGAACCAAAGCTTCACTCAATAGCTGATTTCGCTCAGATAATTCATGAACTGCAATTGATTGTTGCTGGCTAATCACTTCAAGTTGATTACTAGAGAAGGATGCCATTTCAGATCGATTACGATATTCCATGATTGAGTTCTGGAAATCATTTTGCATTTCTTGACCTTCATTGTATAGTCGATTGGCAATATCGGTGGTTAAGACATTGGTTTGATGAAGTTGTTGTAGTCTTGCCTCCGTATTACCCAGTAGTCCTTGAAGGTGATGTACTTCATCCTTGTACTCCTCCTGGATCTCCATACCACGTTGATGGATCCGTCGTGCACCATGTTCCATTAGGGCACCTCGGCGTTCAAGGTCTTGGATGCGTATTGTTGCACCTTCGTCTTCCTGAGATGCTACCATTAGTTCTGCTTGATATTCTGCAACCTCATTTGCGGAACATGACAATCTATGATTGAGTGCATTGACCTCATCAAATACATTCTGATTGTGTTCCCGAAGATACTCAGTGAATCTGATCTCGATGTCATGAATCAGTTGATCCCTGGATGCAGCGTATGCTTCCATGTTGTTCAGCTGATTACGTAGGGATTGACATTGTGCCCGTAGTTCCTCTATCATGGCAATAGGTTCACTAGCCACAGAAGTATCCGTTGATCTCCTCTTAACACGACTATCCCCGGTCCTCTCACCAATTCGGTCGGTCACGGCCCTGGTGGATCTGTCCCTTGGAGTAGTACGTCCTCGAGATGGTCGATGCCCTTGGCGGACAACATCACTCCGAGCACTGTTTCGAGAAGATCTAGGTGTACTTTGGGTGGATATTCTTCGTCTGTTTGATGTGACTTGCCATCCGGACTGTGTAGTTCGGGTAGAGCGTATCCCGCCACTGTCTGCCGTGTCGCCAGGGGAAGATTGATTGACCTCCTCGACCGGCATAGCAGCGTTCTCATTGAAGGTAAACTGCGTGGTGCGCGAATCTCCGCTGCCGCCTTGCATCTTTGCGATGATGAGCTGATTGGTCCTTTGCGTCCTCGATCAATTGCTCAGACGGCCCGGCTACCAGCACGCAGGTACCACTCTCCCGGCGGGAGAAGTGAGCCCTACGGCTGATAACCTGTGAGCAAATTGATCCTTGTTCTGGATTATCCCTTTTGTCTGTAGTACCAGTAATGCTGATAGCGCCGGGCAATCTCAGTGCATGGCATGCGGACAGCGTTCTTATTTTCCTCGCGCAGGACTTGAGCCAATATCATTGGCGGTCCATGCATGACTGTGCACATGTTCATCATGTGCAGCTACACTGTTACCTCGTTCCCCTTCGCATATATATATATATAGCAAGATGACCATCCAACATGGAGGAAACCAATCCATGTTTGACTGTTTTGACCATGCCAGATGTGAAACCACAACTTATGCAAAGTTTTTGATCCGGTTAGATCCCGTCTGTGGAATCGCAGATAGGTCTTGGTCGCTTGAGGACTTGAAATTCCAAGTTTTTGTCGATGAAGGTCCTGAACAAATCGACGATGAAACCGGAACATTTTTCAGTTCTTTTGGTCGAACCCCCATGTCTTTATGGTCATAGCCGTGACGGAGACTAGACCAAGAACTTCCTGTAAGACACCCTCCAAGAACAGCCCAAAGATATGGCCCAAAATGTACCAAAACCATCATGCATGGTATATTTACCATCTGGTTATTTAACATAGCCATGGAAAATCACCATTTTTAATAGGTAAACCATCTATAAATGGGCCATTTTCCATGGCTATGTTAAATAACCAGAGGGTACATATATACCTCACAAAATCACGTCATTTTACCTCACAAAATCACTGAATTTTGGCCATAAATCTCTCACTTTAGATTGGGCCATGGACCAATGGAGCTAATTGCTTAGTATCTGGCTTATAAAAGGCTATATCATGGCTTATCAGCTGCTTACGTACCAGTCAACTGATGATTTGAAGCATTTTTTGTGCCCATTGGATCCCAGCCATTGGGGATTTCCCAGCTATCGGAGGTTTCGACCTCCCAATCGAGGATCCTATGGAGGTCCCCACCAATGCCTTGAGCACGCCGGTGCCATCTGTGTGCTCCAACTTCAGTTTGCCATCCGGACGGACCAAGGCGATTTTGCACTCGATCCACTCGGAGAAAGAAGGGCCTAAGCTGGAAATGCGAATGCAAACGAACTTGGCAATGAAGTGGTGGAAATCCTGCGGGAATTTCAGGCTTCTTCCTATGAATATGAGGGTTTTCTATACATATGAGGGTTTCCAGAGATGGAGGATCCCCAAAATGGATGGTTTATAATGGAAAATCCGAACATCAAATGGATGAAAACTAGGGGTATCCCGGATATCCCCATTTTAGGAACCCCCATTTCTGGATATTTCCTTCAACGAATTGTAAGAGGCTGAACATTTGGCTGTCCAGGAACGCGGGGAATATCAAAAATGGCACTCACTTTGAATGGCAACTTGATGATATTGATAAACCTCTACATCTATGTACATCATGTAAACCATAGGATTTTCATGATGATAAACATGATAAACATTGAGAGAAGTCTATATAAACATCTATAAACATCTATAAACATCTATAAACATCTCTAAATACCAAAGGATTTCGCGCCCTAGATCACCACGGGTGGCATCTTTGTGTCCGACTGTAGTATTCAACACGTTGCCCCACGAAGAAGTCAGACATCCTGAGGATCAATTCGCTGGCGGAATCCATGGCCGAAAGGGTCCATGGATCTTCATGGTTGGTGAATGGGTCATGGATTTTCATTTGGGTAATGGATGTTCTAATGGATGTTCTAATGGATGTTCTAATGGATGTTCTAATGGATGGTAATGGATTCAAATTCGGATCCAATTTTCATATTTTCATGGCATCCGAGAACTCTCCGAGAACAAAATCCCAGGGGATGAACAAAATCACGGGCCGCCACTCCTGCTGAGTTGTTTCCAAGCACATGGAGTAAAGCAATCTTTGGCTTTGCCCCGTAGCGGCCGAAGCCCCGAAGCGCTTCAAAAAGGCGACCGATGCTGAGGTGTTGCAGATCAAGGCGTCCATGGAACTTCAAGTTCACTTAGTACCATACATCTTTATATTTCAACAAATTTGAATATCTTTGCCTAATTGTGTATGTCTCATTGTGTATCGATATTGACATAAGTTATAGATGTATGTGCTATCTTCATGTGTCAGCTGCTCTTGTGACTCTAGTTGTGTTTGACTCACCTGACCGCATGCGTGAGAAGCTATCAAGCCATCAACAGCTGCAAGACGCACGATGCGTGACAAGCTGGAATATTTCTTCAAAACAAAAAACAAACAAAGGACCATGGATGCTTTTGACCCTTTGAACACTTCATCAACAATGTCTCTTCCAAAAAAAAGTTTCCTGACAAGCGTACACAAACTATTTTTGTGTAACTATGTCGAGCTTGAATCCATGATGATTTGTATTCCACAAGGTGCACAAAAAACATACAACATATGTTACATCCATCCGTCCGTCCTGTCCGATGTTTCCTGAGTTGCTTCTTGCTGAGACCAATGGCACTCCTATGGAGTGCTGCATTGATGTGCGCACCACTAACCCTAGACGGGAAAGGTGCAACAAAATTACATCAAGAGAGCCACAAACGGCAGGATGAATTAAAACAGGAACGAAACCTGGAGGTTGGAGGGAAGAGCATTGGAAAATGCTGCTTCCAACATTCATCAAGATTCAGATGTCAACCATTGTCAACCCATGTTGCCTCACAATTTTGTAATATTTGAATCTTATAGAGACACGACCGCGTCTCTGAATGAATCTGACTCTTGCGCTCCTGTCTAGTTGAAAACTAGGCTGGTTACTAAGCACATGCCATTGGGTGAGCTTGACCAGCGCCCTCACGACTGGGGATAAACCCGACGCCTGGACGTTGCAACGACTGAATGGAATGACTAGGAGACAGTGGCTTTCTGTTTTGCCGGCAGAAAACCTGCACACTTTTCGTCCCTTTACTAACTGATGCTCTGTTTGTGTTTTTTTTTGGTTGGAGAAGGTACACTTTCATCCGATGGATTCAAAGTAAAGTGGAATTCGTTTGAAGTTCTTAGCACTTTCTTAACGCCAGGCCAGTCACACTCTGATTAATCTGACCATGTCTGAATCCTGCCGTTGGGAAGACATCCAGTCACCATCTGGGCTGCCCCGCAATGACTTATTGGAGTCCTTCAGCGTGCACGAGACATGACATGCGGGATGCGACAGCCATCAAAAAAAATTGGGATGAACATCCAGCTGTGCAAGCTATTTTGATCATATTTTCAGGCACACCTGGCGGAACATCCTTCATCCCCCATAGATCATCAATGATCATCATCTCCCAATGCCCAAGTGATTTATGTTTTGCATCAACAAACACATTGATAGCTTCCCATCGTTCCCATGATAATGGAGATGCGCTCAGCATTATAGTCAATCATAGTTGAATTAGAGATCCCATCGGTTGGGAATGATAGTCTATAATGAAACATGGGGTGTTTAATGAGAATTGTTCACAACGGGATCTATTCGGACTATACCATAGAACTTTGGGGATTTAACAACCTTTTCTTGGATCATCTATGGGCTTACTATTAAGATCCACTGATGAATCATCATTTTCCCCATTTTTTTAATGGTGATTTGGAGGTATGACTCATCCAGTGGGGGATTTTGCCATGGACATTCCCAACGCTGAAAATCCAGGGACCAAACCCATGCGACTTGCGCAGCAGTCTGCAATGACCACGGATCTACCCTCGACACGGAGCACCGTTTGCTGGTTGGTGATGACTTACGCAGTTTCTAAGGGGCATATATGGGATATGGGTGTGGGAGAAAATGGGTATACCTCCACAGTCGCAACCTTAAGAGGGACAATGATTCACAATGATGATTAGGCACTGAATTTAGGGGCACTAAATCCTAGCAAAACCGATTTGACAACTGACACTTCCAGCATCTTCCCCTGGAAATGTTTTCCATTCCCATTACAAGCAGCCAAAGAAACCAACAGTGTCTAACGACACCCGCTCCAAAACAGCCCATTAAAAGGCAAGATGCGTAATGGTACGGCCCACAGCCACAGTTGCTCTGGCGGGTGCCTATGGTCGTGTCAGCGACAAAATGACAGCCATCACACCATCACTAACCCGAAAAACACCGTTGCACTGTGCTGTGGTTCAACATCTCGGATCGGCCTGTGGCTCCTCTGCATTATGCAGGACCTGTCCGCGGTGCCTTCTTGGTCCGAAACTTCATGTGGGGATCACAAAATAAATGGAATTGGAATGAACTGGATACCAAATCTCCCATTGGTGACTCAGTGAACATCTCGAAAATTCAGAGAAATCCTTATAGTGACATTCTCCCTTTTGGACTATTTTTTTATCAGCACCCGATCCCTTCCGCCTCTGAGAGCTTTGAGAAAGAAGCAGTTAACAAACTGCAGAGAAGGCCCAGTACCTGGGACATGGGTCTGGAACCCAAAATCCACGGGTTTTCAGGGGAAATGATACAGCCTGGTGATATCTACCTTAAATATTCATAATCAGTAAAATATGACATTAGTAAACATATATCTATGTTATTATTATTCGGAAAAAGTACATATCGCATAATTAATTCATCGTAACAACAGTATGGGAAAGGCCTTGTTTTTCATTGTAATATTCTTGGGATGTTACCCTCCAAGCAAAAAACCTGCCACATAGTCATGGATTTGGGGTGTTGCACTCCAGTGCACATGGAAATTCATGGTTCTTCGAAAGTGGTAGGTGAATGCAGAGGTTGAAGCCAATCACTACTGACCTCCCGACATTGGATCTCCCTCTCTCTCTCTCTCTCTGATTGCATATTATATATATTTATATATATACATAAAATACATACATAATATTTTTGCCAAAGTTCATAAAACACAGAAGTATTCACATGTTCATGCAGAAGACATAACCAACACAATCATTCCAAAAGAACAACTTTCATGCATCATATTCCAACTTGGATGTGGATTTTAGTTGGTAAGCGGGCAATCCCCATCGGACAACCCAGTTATATATTATTATATATATATATGTTTACATATATGGAACATCCCAATTATGTGGATTATATCCAGTATATAAACTGCTGATTTTATATATACGTAGGTTCTTCATCACTTCCTAACTGGGATGTACCCCGAAGTACAACAAGCAACATCTATATCACATTGTATCACCTTACCATACTTGATAACGCGCAACTATCCCACCATTCTGAAGAAAACCATTCCAAACTTTCCGTTTTTATCCGCAGCAAAAAAAAAGATTCTGGTACAGTAACCCAAGAACTATCCAGAAAAGTAGAACACTTCAATCTATCAGAATAAATTGGAATTGGAATTTACATGAATTTACTAACTAACATGAACATCTGCATCATTTTAAGGCTTTGCTATGTGCCTTTATTTCACCGCCGAATTCCCAGGTACGGTGCTGAAAAAACCAATGCCGTTGGGACCACTGGTGACCACCTGGTCGGGATGGGACCGGTTCCCTTCGGGAGTATCAACCATATCATCGGTATCTATGATGGTATTATGATGGTATTATGATGGTTTATTTGATTATGAAAATAATAGTTATTATCTATTTTTAAATATAATCAAGTTACTTGATTAACCAAGTACTATACTCAAATAACATTGATTATTAACCATATCATCGATAGCACCTAGTGATAATGGTATTTATAATGAAATGGTATCCATAACCAATGGTATTTACAAGAATCAATCGTATAAAATGTTGATTAACATAGTCCGATTGGTATTTTCATATCATCCATAATCAATGATATTTATAATAGGTGATATAGATCATAGGTGATTATAGTATGGTTAATATCCATACTGTCCATAATCTTCATATATCATCCATAATCAATACTATCTTAATCAACACCGATTGGTATTGATAGTGAATATCAACACTATGGAGGATAATTCTAAAAATACTGATGGATGAATCTTATGAAAGGATCCAATCAGATTGTCCATCAGGATGGACCAAAGGATTAAGGATGCTTTTGTGGTAAATCCAAGAATAAAAGGGACTATTTATCGAATAATAGGGAGTATCACCGAGTATCAACAATAATATTTAATGATTGGAGGATAGGATTCCAGACGATATAAGATCTAAATCCTATAAGCGGATCCAACAACCTCATAAACCCTTAAGTCTTGCAGGCTTCAAAAGAATATATATGGAACACATAGGGACCATTTCTTGTTTGGATTCCTGCATCACTTTCATTCCAAGACAATATACAACCATATGCTACCCTCTGGTAAACTAACATAACTATGGAAAATCGCAATTTTTAATGGGAAAATCTCACTATAAATTGCCATTTTCAATAGCAATGTTAAATTACCATATGCTAATCCCCAAGCTTTGGTCTAAACCCTGCTTCCCATGGTTTTTCATAAACATGAAGTTTACATCAGCAATCTGCAGGAATCTGCAGCTGCTAAATGCCGCTAAGCTTTTGTGATGCTTGTGATGCTGGAGGTCTGAGATTAGAACCGCAGTGCTTCCAGCAATGACCTCAGGAGCTTGAAATTTTCGAGTCAAGTCATCCCCTGGGAACTGAAACAGATCGACTGAGAGGTTGGCTGCAACTAACTGAAAGAACGCAACGCCTCACAACGTTTGGACAGTGTGCACGGTCAAAGCTTGAGGACAAACGAGTGGACATGCTCAAGATGTGGTTCAGAAAATGGCGGATTTAATTTATTTCCGGACAATCCCATACATCCCCATCTTGTTGGTTATGTCCTTCTGCCCCATTATGAATTCCAATCCTTGATTCAACTCATATTTGTGGGATAATTATTGTTGGCTAACATCCAATCTGTTGGTGTTTTTTTCTCCATGAACTTCCAGTCTTTTTGAAGCCAGGAAATGCTCGAGCCGCTCGAGCCTAGCGCCATGATCATGCCCACTTTGCCAGGAAAACGCCATGCAAATCTGCAGCAAACAGGATATCAACAACATTTGGGGGTTGAAATGGGTTGAAGTAAGAAAAATGGCTGGTTTCGGCGGTGGATCAAGCAAAAGATGAGGGTTTTAGCGACAGCAATGGTGGTTTTACGATTAAAAACAAGGTTTTACCATGTTTTACGCGGGGATTCCGGGATATGAGTAAGGATGACCCAAGAAATGGGGGATTGCACAACGTGGATGCACGTTTTCAACTATCCCCTTTAGCTTTCAGCTAACTGGTCGGGAAGTCAAACCGTCTCGAGACCTCCACGTAACTTAATTAGACACTATTGTTGGTAACATCACACTTTATGCTGGCAACATGCAAGTAATGCGAATTTCTTGAACTGAGGGACCCAAAACAATTCTCCATTCAAAATGACAATTTTTGGATGATTTTGGGGTTCCTCGCTGTTTAAGAACCCCGCATAGCCACGTTTTTGCTTGGTGATGTTTTTTGTCCGGTGACATGTTCACGTTTCTGTTTGTGGTTGAAGCCACCACCAAAATCACGGCCGTCGAAGCCCAGTATGATTAGTTGACCTATTCATCCTTGATATGTAATTGTGCCTAGTTCTCTTCGGTCACACACATCATACCGCATTTGCTTGGCACCTCCACATTTATAGCATCTTTTGACTCAAAAGCATGTCTATCCTTTTTTGTTAGGTCTTTACAGCATGTTGTATATAACTCCAAACAATTAGCTTACCACGTGCCACTTCTTGTTGGTTGTGGCTTTCTTGATGCAAACCAATTCTATTCATGTCTGAGTAGGTATCGAAGGAAGTTTAGAAGTCAAACTTCCGACAGTATGGACAGATGAAGAGCAGATGTGGGAAGAATCAGAGACGAGAAGAAACGAAGAAAGGAGATCAGGGAAGAAAGGGTCAGAAGACAGAAGATGCAGGTGCACGAAAAGGTAGCAAAGTCGCGAAATACTTTGTTTTTTCAATGATTTGTGGCTCCGGAGTCCAACCACCTTTCAGTCCATCAGTGGATTCGCTCTGCCATCTCTCCTTTTTCGGTTTCCTATTTTTGAAACTTTGGCCACCGCCGCACGTGCGGTACTACTGCTATATAAGATCTTATACTTTACCCCCTGGTAAACTAACATAGCTATTGAAAATGATCATTTATAGTTGATTTACCCATTAAAAATGGTGATTTTCCAGAGTTTTTTGTATGTTTACCAGAGGGTACACTAGACCATACTAGACCCGTTTCTCTGTGTTTTTTATGTCCGCCGTTACCGCTCTGGCGCTGCCTCTGTTTCGAATTCACAAAGAGCACCGCTGCAGGAAAGCCGTGGGCCATCGCGAGCAGGATCGCCTGGACACGCTGTGGGAGGCAATTTTGGTCACCTAAGTCATAGCTGGTATAGCTGGATGTTTATTCCCCCAGTCTCCCAGTCATATGGCAATAGGTTTTTGACCCATTCCCATATAGATATTGGATATATGGATAAAATTGATAAGATATATACCCTAGTGCTCCAAATACTGTCTGAGAAGGTGTGGGCGGCTCGAAAAAACCACCCCCAAATACAGTCTCAGAAGGTGTTTGGAACCCTAGGAATAGATATATGGATATTAACCATAGTTATCGCATTATGGTACAGTTGTGGGTGGATATATGTGACATTATGTGACCATAGTCTTGCGGGGGCATATCCCAACAAACATGGGGGGGGCATTTGATCATGATTCCCCATTTGGAACCTCAACTGCACCCCGAAGTAGGGATATATCCATCACCAGGGATATACAGATAATTACAGATAGGTGAATGGATAACTTTCATCTTCCCAATTTTAGTTAGGTATTGTTATCTTTAGGTAGTCAGCTCCGCTGGAACAATCCGCCAGGACTAGGGCTCGATGATTAGAACAGATCCCATTCGAATCGGATATCTTACGATGCAAATGGGACGTGAATCTAAACCAAGAGGATAGGACGATAGGGATACTTGAGCCAGCACTGAGGGAGATTTGGCCGGAAATATTCATGGACATGTGACTTCGATTGTTGAAAATGGAGATCTATTTCAGCCATATGCACCAACCGGCAGCTTTTCTTGGCTTTTCTTTTTTTTTTTAATCCAAAGGCACGCTACAGTTATCAACAAGAACATTGGATCTAGAATGTCCCCCAACCCTACAAAACTGTATTCATCTCTAAGGGTGTGTATATATATAATATGATATATACATATATATATATATATACATAATTAAATATATACCAGTATATTAGATCCTCATCATTCATGGTTTGGTTTGGAAACTTCGCCCAGCGGCAAAGAAGAGGCATCCTTTGGCGACCCAAACCTTCCTTAGCACCCGGATTCCATGCGGGAATCGAGGGGATATCAGCCATTTAAACTTGGTGATTTTTGATGATTTCTGCACATTCAGGCCCTGAATTAATCATGATTTTTGATAAATCATCATATTATTGTGTATCCTGCTATGTGTTTCATCACCACGGAATCTGTCTCAACTGTTTTACTCCAAATCTGGATGGTTTCAATGCTGAAAGTGACCACAGAATTGTGGGTCCGCCATGGCCATATTCTAGCCATAGCCGCCATAGCCACAGCCGAGCAACTCGAAGTTCCCCGCAACGCTGCAGGGGTCCTCCTTCTCATACCACGCGAACGGCCCCTCATGGTCTGCCCGGTTGTCCTTGAGAAGTGGATCGGGTCAAAACCGCTCCGACTTGGGGTCAGGGATCATGAAAAATTATCCCAACAAACAGGGATAACATTGGTAACATCATGGAAAATATGGAAAGTACTGTATTTGAACCTGTCAAGCAGACTACTTTGCCATGATCTTTAGGCTCATTTTTGTTGAATTTTCGATACACCCCCCACGATGAGCAGATCTTTCCCCCCCATGCTTCATGAATGTCTGTCGAATATGTTTGTTTCAAACCGACCAATAAGATCCAAGAAACAGGACTTAATTATTCATCTTTGAAACCCCAAATACCAAGATTTCCTTCATTTGGGTTCATCTCAAAATTGGGTACCCTTAAATCCGCCAGGTGATGACTATCATCATAATCATCCCCTACCAAAATGTGATAATTGGCTATTTACCCCATCTTCACACAATTATGGGACAATCTTCATGGAGGCACCGTCGCCCCCATCTGGGGTTCCCAACAAAGGTGGCTAAATGGCAGGCGACAAAGGACGTGACATCCGGTGCGTAGGGCTGCAGAGGCCGCAGGCGGTCCAGGTTTTTTGGTGGCCATAAAAGTCTACGGCAATTGGGGATGTGATCTTGAACTTTTGATGATTTTTGGATTTTGGAAGCTACAAAACTCGTACAATGAACACACATTAGCATGTGTTTCATTGGGGTTGTTACTTGGCTGTTTTTAGAAGGCCTCTAACGTATGTCCCCGGGAATGTGTCAAGAATTGAAGAGAATTATAATGGTTTTCATTACCTTAATTAAAAACAATATTGAATGTACTTGCTCTTTACAATTCTTTACGTTTCTTTCCATTTTTCCAATTCTTTCCAATTCTTTCCAATTCTTATCAGTTTTTCTTATTACAATTATTTTCAATTCTTTTCAATTCTTTCCATTTTCTCTTACAATTCTTTTCAATTCCGTTTCAATTCTTTTCGATTCTTTTCATTTTTTCTTACAATTCTTTCAATTCTTTTCAATTCTTTTCAATTCTTTCCATTTTTTCCTTACAATTCTTTTCAATTCTTTCCATGTTTCTTACAATCCTTTTCAATTCTTTTCAATTCTTTCCATTTTTTCTTATAATTCTTTTCAATTCTTTTCAATTTTTTCCATTTTTTCTTACAATTCTTTTCCATTCTTTCCAATTCTTCTGTCAATTCCAAAGAATTGTCCAAAAATAGAAGAATATGAAAAGAATTGCCAGAAAAGAATTGAAGAATTGCCGAAAACTTTTGAGAATTGACGAAAAATAATAGAAATAGATTTCTATTGTTGTACTCCACAGGCGGCTTCTAAAAACAGGTAAGTTGTTACTAGCTGGGACCCTCGCGTGGTGGTTTTGGGATCAAACTGATCAAACCATGCAATTGTTTCTGGCTTCGTCATCTTGAGAGGATCACCAACGGGAATGATGGCAGAAGACAATCAACACATATGGCAGTCAAATTATCAAATCGGAACATGGGTGTAGTTAGCACAGAGAAAACCATTGCATCAACCCCTGGAAATGAAATCAGCAAACACCTTTAAAATAATCACAACGACATTAGATCTTTTAGAGTACCCTTCGAAGATCAATGAATTGGTGCAAAACTCCAAACTATGGACCCACTTGCATTTTCTTTTTCTCATATATCCATCTGCTCCATGTATGGAATATTTACCAACATCTACCTCAAGAGTGAACAAAATGGCTAAATATACCACACAGTGGAGCGTGTGGGAGGGATATAATGTAAACCGTAAACCCTATATTCAATAATACATCGGAAATTTGGGAACAGCTTATACCGCCCGGTTTTTGATTAAACTGGGGATGGATTTATAAAAATGGGTTGGTGACACATTCCTATTAGAACCACCCAAGCTTTGCAACTTTCATTGGAATATGTCACCAATTGGAACTTCTCATGATATTGGTCTGCTTCATCAACTCATACATTCAACACATCAATTGAGAGATCATGAGTACAACAAATCAGGTTTCGCATCTAGGTTGACATGTTTATTCTTTATAACAAATCGAAAACAAACAACATCTGTGGGCCCAAGTATCATAAATAGTGGATTCACCATAAAACAGGAAAACCCTCCGGCATGGCGACGGACGATTTTCAGAGGGTACTGCCCATGAAAATATCACCATTTTTTGATGGCTAAGTCCCTAGTCACCAGAAAATCCCAAAGCTCGATTTATGCCACTCAATCCCATTTCTCCATCAATTAAATCTCAATTTTCCCATAATGTGAAAAGTTAACCACTCAAAATTGTCAATGGTTAATATCCAAACATCCGATATTCCTCCATCATTTCCAATCGCCATTCAATCTCATCAAACATCCCTTTTTGAACCAACATTTTCCAATGCTAATCTCTATTTTTTCATGGTGAAATCACCATTTTTCCACTCCTAATCCCATTAAATCACAATTTTTCCATGGTAAAATCACCCATTTAAATCCCATTTTTCCACTCCTCAATCATCCAATTTGCTCCACCCCCCCCGGAGCCTCTGGCTCGGGTGGCAAGCGCGGTGCCGCTGTGGGCGCGGCTGAAGTCAGCTCTTCTGCCCGGGTGGTGCGCGCCTGGACGAAATCCACACAGCTGGGGGATTTTTCAGCTGGCTCTCCACGTTAAACATCTGGGATTATGTATTTTTTTGGATGATTTCCAAGAATCACAGAATCTTTAAAATCTTGCACTGCCAATTTCCTGAAACCAATCTATTTTCTCAGCAAAAACAAGCATCTGCTCAGCTGATACCTAGGCTGGGTTCTGGCCTGTAGGAGCTCGATTGTCTGCAGGGTGGTGGTCGTCAGGTCCAACAATTCCAATTTCCAGGCCTCTTTCAAAGCCCAGTCACTCCTTACATCGCTTGATTTCACTGGATATTGGCTGCAGATTGGGGGACAGGTGGTACGGGCTGTATTAGTTGCAAAAAGGAAGGGTTGAAGGCGGTTTTTTTTGGGCTTAGTTGTTGAACTCAAGACTTCTCATGTCATGACGGATTTACACCCTGACGAGCACATGACAAACCATGTTTAGCTAACTAGGACTGTTGTTGCTGTTGCAGTTCAAACCCACCTAAAGGGATATCCCGCATATGTAGCTGCTTATTAGCCACTTACTGGGATGGAAACCATCCCCGGCAATCATCCTTAACCCCCAATCATGAGAAGTTACAGGCTATCCAGTCACAGCAACCTCCAAAAAATAGAACAAGTCATTTACAACTATGTTAGTAGGATTATATTACATATAACTATGATCAACTATGTTAGTAGGATTATATTACATATGTATGTTGATTATAACAACACATCCATCCCCCTCATTTGTTGCTCAGGTTCCACTCGACCGGCTTTGTATTGGGAGGCATCAGGGCCTGTTCTCCCAGCGAAACTAAAAATGGATCCGTGGTGGGGCTGTAGATCCACTGATGCAGCTGACCTCAGTGATCAAGAATTCTAGACGACCCATGAATTCCAACGGTTCCAACATGGTGTATTAATAAACCCCCATGAATACTATAGATGTATCTACCACAAACCCAAAGTTATTGAAATTTTCAACCAGCTTAGCTAACGAGCTGGGGCACCACCTTATGCCTCTGAAAAACTTCATGTAAATTTCTAGGTTTGGGGTGTTGATTCTTTGCTGCTACCCTGCAACCCCAGAAATTACCGGGGTCGCGGAGCTCCAGTCACCGCGAGAATCGGAGGCACCATGAACAAGTCTTGATTCAGATCTTCATTGTGCATTTATATGCATTTATGACTAACATCGTCCGTGGTTCAGGTCATGACGCATATTTAGTCTGTTTGATATCTTGTTCCGTAGCCTCAATTGTTTTGTGTTTGTTTTTGCACATCCAATTTCGTGGGTGTATTCCCACTCCTCTTGGTGAAAAAAATGTTGAGATCCAATTTCTGTTGATGTTTATGTGGTATCCCCATCAAACATCATGATGACGACCCTTGTGTTTAGTATTGTTGGTGTTAATCATGACCCTCATGGATAGTCTATAGTAACTATAGATGGTGATATATATATATAGTTACTATATCACATAGATGGTTACTATAGATGATAGTTACTATAGATATATCCCATCTATATATCACCATCTATAGTTACTATAGTAACTATTATATTATAGTAACTATTATATTCCCATCATATCTTTCCCAGGATTTCACCTTTTCCTCAAGAGATTCCCGTCAATTTTCATCATATCATAGAGATTCAATTCCCCCCAAAACTGTCATTAAGGACGAATCTAAACCACCAACAACCACAAAGTAGGCTGAATCTTAACCATCTGCTATTGAAGGCGGGGGGTCAGGAGAAAAAAATTAAACGGGGGGTTGCAGATATTCCTACATATTCTCCATTTTTTCATATCTTTCCCATGAACATGATTATTATTGGTTCTATATCCAGATTATCTAATTTTGATCCCCAAAAGGCTGGTTTAATCCCGTTAGTTGCAGATTCGTTCGTATCTGGGTAGATTAAAGTTATGATCTACTATGAATCCCATGAAATCCTGATCTTTGTTGTTTAACTCACTATTTTCATTAAGAGGGTCAACTATAAATCCACTGATATCCCCAGAACAGCTCATTAAAACCAGAAAGATATGCCCCCGTCAAAATATCTCCATCATATCCAGTTAAATCATGTTCAGTCGCGTTGAATACCAATCTTATCTAATACTATCCAATATTATCCATATTATCCACATTCTCCATATCATCCATATTATCCATATTAATCAGGTAAATCCAATAATAAAGCTTCCCCAATAAATAATTAGGGCCCCTAGCAATGGGATGATCTAACATGATCTCCAAATGCTTGGGTGCGATGGTTGATGGCATCGGGTTTACCCGATTATCCATTGTATTCTCAATCATATCTGGATAAAACAGTGATAACATAATCCTGCTATTATCCCTAGAATGTTCATATTATCCAGTATATCATAGTATCTCATAGTATCTCACATATTATCCCAGTATATGATCCATTATACTCTCCATTATCATTGGATTACAAATCCCACAAAACATATCTGACTGATCCAATCCAATTAGTTATATTATCTCTCACATATTAGTTATATCTACCATTAATATTATTATCAGTTTTCATCCTAGTATCATCCCAGCATTATCCAATATTATCCATATTATCCATATACTATCCAAAACATACTATCCAATATTATCCAATATTCTCCAATATTATCCATTATACTATCCAATATTATCCGTTATACTATCCAAAACATATCCATTATACTATCCACTAACTATCAATGATACTACCCAACATTATTCATATTGTTTCTTTCCATATCATAATGGATACTTTGTATAATTAGATTCCATATTATGGATCGATATTGATAATACAGTACATTATATTCCAAAGTGCAATGGATCAATATTTTCCATATTATCCATATTATCTATAAACAAAATATCTATCTATGATACATTTCATCTACGTATGATATCTATGATATTATCTATACAAATGTATCCATCTATATTATCTATAGCTATATATTATTTTCCATATTATCCATTGACCATCCATCGTCATCTCCCATAAACAAGCCATGCCCAGCTACGTGCAGGTACTGACGGGCAGGGCCAACGTCCTAACCACTTGGTGGCTGGAGATCGTTGCAGGTAGGCCTCCCAAACCAAGCGCACCTTGGCACTCCAGGATCCAAATAGTTCAAATATGGCTGATATATGGTTCATGTATGTTTTATGATCAATGTAAACTGAATTTTGCTTTTAAATATGCATCTGATAAATAAATTCTATATATACATGAAAAGTATGAATGATTCTTTGAACACACATTTGTCACATATCTGAGAATTGATGAAAACAATAATGAACAATAGGTTAATCATGGATCTCATTGACTGGGAGTCCCTCACGTGTTCGTGCCGCAGGGGCCGCTGGGTGAACATGAATTTCGGGACCTGGCACGGACATATAGGGAATATATATATATATGTATATTTATACATATGTGTGTGTATATACATATGTATATATGTACTTATGTGTGTATATATATATATATGTATGTGTATATATATGTATGTGTATATATATATATGTATATTATATAATATATTAACGGGTATTGCTGAGACCTGCTGGAAGAAAATTGCTGAGATTTTCTGGAGAACTATGTGGGTTTGTTCAAAGACTAGAGTACACAATTCAGTGGTTGATCATCATTCTCTCTCTAAAAACATGTTACTGACATGGAGTAATATCCCATTTCTGCACAGACCCAAAACATGATGCCATCACATCTGCTGTGGATCCACTAAGGAATGCTTACGTATCAGTCACCTCGTTGCTCATGTCAACTGGTTCGTCTATCTTATCCATGAACATGGTTTAAACGATCAAAAGTGGTACACTTCATCCATGAATTGGACAAATTATAGCCTCTAGTAATCAAACATAGCAACAAGCCCCTATAGATGATTTTCCCAGCTAGAAACCTCCATTGAGTTCGGGGATTTCCCAGCTTGTTCGATTGCTGCAGCTTTGATCAGCCTCTGTGAAAAAAGGATAGAGCTGGGCGTAGATCCGTTCGATGATGACTTGGTTCAACTCGAAATTCAACTCCTGGCCGGAGCACTTCAGGTAGACCAACCGGGGATGTGTCAAAAAACCATGAATCTCAGCTGAGGTCCCAACCCAATCGGTGTAAGGTGCATTCATCCTCTCCTGGGAATGTTGGGATGCAAGATTACTATAGTTCTATTGATAGTTCTATTAAAAGTGTGACTAGTACTGACTAAGCCTGAGGGTACTTCGGCACCGATATTTGTTGCAAGAATAGATCATTGACTTTCAGCGATGTCTGAGTATTCAGAAACGAGCTTTGGAAGTAAAACCCACCCAGCCTCCCAAGTGGGTTGCGCGCAGTATGCCGCACCCAACATGGGCGTGGTTGCAATGGGCACCGGTGTCATCTGAGCGCAGGTGTCATGGGGACAGGTTTGGGTTTGTTTTAACAAAAAAAAAGTTTTAAAAATAAAACAGTTTTTGACTTCCCAAACTAACCACCAAAATTGGTCAAGTTGTCAGTAGCTTCATGTAAAAAAAACCTGCGAAAACCCCATCGAAATCCCATCGAAACTGCGGGGTCGAAGCCACTGGGCCTCCGGACCTGTGTGGTTTGTCCGAAGCCCAGTGATGTGGTGGTTTTCTGAGCGCCGACGGCTTCGGTATCTTCAAAACAGGAATGAAATATGGAACATGGAGACTTCCCCAGGGACAATCCCCAGTTACAACTTCATCTGTCAATGATAATAAATGTATGATTTTCCGTTGTCAGGTGTGTTTGCAAAACAACTTCCATCACAAAATCAGGTCCCCTTTTCAGTTCGCAGCTTGGTCAGCTTCTGAGTGGTCCTACCGATCTTTTTGTATTGGAACCCTATGGTTTTCACAGCAAAATATCTGGTTGTTGTGGATCTGCTTCAATCCCACATTCGGTATTACCAGAGCAATTTTTGTGATACAAAACCAACTGCAGTGGAGTTTGGAGTTTCAAAACCACTATTCGGAGGTTTCCACAAATGGGGGTACCCCCCAAATCCCAGTCAGTAGACCAGTTTAGTCGTATTAAAACCCATGGTTTCGGGGCTGACAAATCACTAGCCACATGGGGTAGGCCAACATCGCTCCGGCGAATGTCGGTGTCTAAGGCACTACGGTTGTAGTCCAAGTGAACCAAGCTGTCATAGTGGTGGTTGGGGCACCAAACCTACCAGCTGATGTTGCGGCACCAAGACGTCCAATGAGAAAAGATTGTGAAAGATTCAAGCACAGCGAAAGGAACCGTGGGTCCTGGATGCTAGTTTCAACCTATACCCCAAAAAAGAACAAATAGATTGGTCAGTGCTGTTTCACCATTTCAAATAGGTCGGAAAGCAGTTTGGAGATTGGAACACATGTTTCCACCCGGCAAAAGAGTTAGGTATGGGTCAGAATTGGGGTACCAATGGAACCGCAATTTTGGCCCTTTCAAGTGTTAAAACAACACATTTTAAATTTCCTATAACTTTGACCCACGCCCGAACCATACCTATATTCTCCCCATTCAAACTCCCCATTTTGTTGGCTAAATCCACATAAGTCGTTGCTTAAACTCACCATTTTTGGACCCAGGCCCAGTTCTTAGCTGCATCGGCGGTTTGGTCACTTGAGGATGCTACTCGAAGGGTTTGTGGGTGGAGATCTGCACAGTGTTGGGTGGCAACGGTGCTTTCATGTCGTAGGGAGCTTCCGGATTCCTCGGTTGAAACGATGATTGATGTTTAAATTTCGTTATCGCTTTATTATCCCATTATTATCCCGTTGTTATTATTATCCCATTATCATCCCACTAATTCCCAAGCATCCAGGATAGCCAAGGAAGAAAACCCTTGCAGCTGAGCAGTGCCGAGCATCTGAAATACGTCTTGATTGATCTCCTTGTCAAAGTTGTAGGGATTCTCTCCCTCTCCATTCCTAGCGCCGGAAAGGGAACCACAAGGTGGTGGTTGATAACTAGCTTAATGATAATTTATGGTAAATATACCTGTACTTAATGGAGTTCAAAGACCAACTTGTAGCTCAGGGGGGTTACCACCTTGCATGGACAGCCAGTTGCATAGGACGTTTGAGGTAAGTTCTTACCATCACACGGGAATATTTCTGAGCCACATCTGAAGCAACTTCAACATCATTTCGCACCATTGAAATTCCATTTAATACTATTAGCTCATAGAAATAGACAACAACTAGATTTTACTATTTGACCATCACATCCATCACATGTCTGGGAATATTTCTGATTAAACCCATCTCCGAGATTTCCCTGGGGAATTCTCTTGGGGTGTCGGTTTGATGCCAAGGTACTCTCCGTAGGGGACACCATTGGGGCTGTAGATGCGAGGCCTCGCTGTCACAAATCGCACCATTGAAAATGGCCATAGAAATAGTTGATTTACCAACCAAAAATTGATTTATAAATTCATGGTAACTATTTTATATTTGATTTATTTCTATAGTTGCCCATTTTTAAGTTGATTCTCCATAGTTTGTTGTAAATGTTTGCAAGTTTATTCAGAATTAACCGAAGGAAGTTTAGAAGTCAAACTTCCGACAATATGGACAGATGAAAAGCAGAGATGGGCAGAGGCAGAGAGAAGAGAAGAGTAGAAGAGAGCAGATCAGAGAAGAGAAGGAGTCAGAAGAAAGAAGATGCAGATGCGCGAAAAGGTAGGAAAGTCGCGAAACACCGTGTTTTTCCAATGATTTGTGGCTCCGGAGGGTCGAAAAGTAGGCTCGCTAAAGCAGCGGGTGCGGAGCCATCTGGCCAGATGAGATGAAAAATTGCACACTGTTGTGGCGCGAAGCACATTTGCAAGTCAAAATGTACAAAATACACTAGGATCGGACCACTTTTGGAAGTTGAGATGTTGAAAAAGTGCACGCCGGTGTGGCGCGAAGCACATTTTGAAATCAAAATGTACAAAGCACACCAGCTCCGGACCACTTTTGGAAGTTGAGATGTCGAAAAAGTGCACGCCGTTGTGGCGCGAAGCACATTTTGAAGTCAAAAGTGCGAAAAACTGACGGGTACGGAGCACTTTTGGACGTTCAGATGTGCTTTCGCGTGGCAGGCGCAAGGGATTGTGCACCTTGTCAAAAGTGAGCAAAACGTGAGGGTTTTGTAGCATTTCCAAAAGCGATGTCAGGCGTGGGACATTTGAAGAAGATCTTCAAAGATGCATTTTGCATTGCAGGCGCAGTACAAAAGACATGTTCATCAGAGATGTTAGGAGGTCAGGGCGCTGATTTCCTGAGAGGGGTTGCATTTTGGAGCGTCAGATCTTCAGGTTTGCTGAGATGATTTTGCATGACAGGTGCAGCGCTTCGTATGACTTGGCATCACTTTTTCGTGGCAGGCGCAGTACTTTCGACAGGTGGACTAGAAAAATCGCAAAACGCATTGGTACGAAGCTGTTAGCTCTGCGCTCAACTTTCCATTTTTGAAGGAAGTCTCGCAGAATTGCTTTGTTTTTGATGTTGTCAAGTTGAAAAAATGAAGAAGTTTCGCAGAAGTGCTTCGTTTGTGATGTTGTCAACTTTGAAAAATAAGGAAGTCTCGCAGAATTGCTTCGTTTTTGATGTTGTCAACTTCAAAAAATGAGGAAGTCTCGCAGAAGTGCTTCGTTTTTGATGTTGTGAACTTGGAAAAATGAAGAAGTCTCGTAGAGCAGATAGAGTCAGATAGAGTCAGATAGTGTCAGATAGAGTCAGATAGAGTCAGATAGAGTCAGATAGAGTCAGATAGAGTCAGATAGAGTCAGATAGAGTCAGATAGACTCAGATAGAGTCAGATAGAGTCAGATAGAGTCAGATAGAGTCAGATAGAGTCAGATAGAGTCAGATAGAGCCAGATAGAGTCAGACAGATAGATAGATAGATAGATAGATTTATAGATAGATAGATAGATAGATGGATAGATAGGTAGATAGATAGATAGTTAGATAGACAAATGAGAGAGACAGAGAGAGAGAGAGAAAGAGAGAGAGAGAGAGAGATAGATCGATCGATAGATAGATAGATAGATCGGTAAGTAGGTAGGTAGATAATCAGAGAAAGTGAGAGAAAGAGAGAGTAAGAGAGAGAAAGAGAGAGAAAGAGAGAGAAAGAAGGAGAAAGAGAGCAAAAGAGAGAGAAAGAGTGAGAGAGATCAATCACCTTTCAGTCCATCAGTGGATTCGCTCTGCCACCCGTGAGTCACAACAACCAACCTCTCCTATAGGTTTCCTATTTTTGAAACTTCCGCCACCGCCTTGTGCGGTACTACTGGTATAGTAATATGTAGTAACCAGTTATCTGGTAGCATTGATCCATTGAAATTGAATTCCAGACAATATATGGGACAATTTGCATAGAATTTGCAGGACCCCAACCCAAAGAAAATCTTGGTCAAAACGATGGCAACATATGGCAACCATGGTAAAACCGGCAGATTCATTGTGTCTCCCTGAAATCAACCAACCCAATGGATACCAGGGAGACGCTGCTGAGATCCCCAAACGCTTCCGTGGTGGTCGTCACAAAGTACTCGGCACGGCTGCCGATGTCTGCGCTACAGAGCTCCGGCGCCCAGTCCTTGCGAGGTGATCAAATGATGGAGTTTTGCAGCTGTTTGTGATGTAACTGATTTAACTGATGTACGTATTTCTTATCATTTGATATGGCAGATTCCATGTGCTGAGCGATGGGGATGAATCTGGATTAATGGGAATACAACATTGAAAGCTCCTTATCATATGTCCTTTAAATTGAAGATAGTTTCCGGGAACTCTGATTTCGTTCAATGGACTGATCTAAGATAACTTTACAGGAAAGCGCCCGATGATGGGATTGCCTGTGGACTTTCCCTATAACCGATTCCTAGAGCCATGCTTTGTCAAACGGCTGAATGATGTCTAACGATGTAGGAAAGAAATTCCTGAATGATGTTGGCCGGAAAATGAATCTCAAACGATTCACTCAGCCCAAGGATGATTTCCCAAATGTTGTGGATCAAATGGTCACACCAAAATAGTGACGAACCATTAAATGGATTGGGTGAACATCTAAAAAAAGAACAACGAAATGGATGGGTCCCCAATGATCCAGACCACATATGATAAACTATACCTGGTTGGTGGTTGAGCCTACCCCTCTGAAAAATATGAAAGTCAATGGGAAGGATGACATCCCATATATGAAATGGAAAATAAAAGCCATGTTTGAAACCACCACTTTTTTGTACCTCTTTGCTCTGCACGTTGGTTTGGTCGTCGAAACCAGTGCCTTGGCTGTGTACACCTACCTATTGCGGCACCGGTAACCCGTGTGGGTTAGCACTCCCCAAAACAAAAGTATCTTCATCCGCAGCAGGGCCAGGGTGAGAGGCCCCCCACCCGAAACACACTGAAAACAAGCAGCAGCACCACCAAAGGCCCAGGCTGTGGGCTCGATGCTCGCACATGCTTCACTGTGGCTGCATACCCCATACAACAAAACTGTAAAACGGGCATCTGGGTCCCGACCAACAAGCTGCCAAAGCAACGCACGACACACGTGCACACAGGTGTGTCGGAACCCTGCCCATACCATCACTCACCATCCTCCCGTGGCCGTCGGGACAAAAGACCACGGATATGCGACAACTGGTTTTCAAACTCGGCCTGGATGCTCTGGTTCTTGGATTCAATCTGGCCAGGTAACTGCTGGGACTGTGCCTGGATCTGAGACCCTAAGTTCAACACCTGTTGGGTCTGGTGTGCACTGAACTCCTGGAACTGCCCCTCATGCAAAGCAGTGGGGCCAATACCATTGGCTGCCATCATGTGCGTAGGATATGTGCCATCCTCCACTCCAGTCGTCTGACATTCTCGTTGGTCCAGCATAAGAGCACGCTCATCTCTGGTGTCCCACTCACAGATGTAGGGGATGAGACATTGAATCCTTGGCGCTTCTCCCATAGGCAACCATTCAGCTAAGCCAATGTTACCCACGCTGGAGACATACATCACCCACCACGCTCGGTATCTGCGACATGGCCACACCGTCTGCAGATCAAGGTTGACTGCCTGGAACAACAATGCAGCTCGAAGGACACTCGGCAGGCACTGTGCACTAGGATCCATGGCTCCCCGTCTATCTCCAAGCTGGGAGTATGGCTGGCACACATATCCAGCACACAACATGGCTGCATGGTCAGACTGGCGCCACAACTCATAACTGACCTGGGGATGGCCAACATCACCAGGCACCGTCTCACTGCGTGACTGAACCTTATGCAAGTTGGACGTCCTCCCATGGCAATCCACTGACACCGTTGTGTGCACACGACCAGACAAAGCTCCATGTGAGACACCAATCTCCGAGCAAGCATCCACAAGCTTGAAGAAATCAGCCCTAGAGTGACGAGTATGGTACATCACCTCCGTGTCGGGTCCAATTTCAATCTCAGGGATCGGGAACTGTTTGACCACCACGGCTTCCATCAGCGTCAGTCGAGCAGAAGTCCCTTCCACCAAGCCACGCACATGAGCATGCGCACCCGAGGGAAGGATCCGCACCAGGTGCCTCTCAAGGAGAGGATCCCACACCTCGACATCCACCACCAGGGAGACAAACCCACCACTGTCAGTGGCACCGATCTCCATGAAAGGATCCATGGCTAGACATGTGGAACAAAAAGCTCAACGCTTTGCCAGCCCAGCCACACCCGCTGGGAGGTGTTGAGCCCGTGGCTGTTTGAAACCACCAACCAGATACATATTATGGAATCGGCATATCATCTCTACTAGCCACTAAAGTGGCATCATTTCCTGGTTGACAATATTTCACCAACCTGACATGTTCGGCTGGGAAAGATTCGCCCAATCGTATCCATCACTTTCAGTGACGGCACGTCAGGTCGTCATGTGATCATCTCATGTAACAACAGACATTATAATCCGTTTAATTAAAACCAAACACTTTTCCGGAAACCATGGCTTAACCATGGCTTAACCATGGCTTAGCAACAGATTTACACTAACATATACTAACATTTACACATCGGACCCAGCTACGATGTGAAGCATATGGACTTTGCCGCCGAGATGCTCGCATCGAATCCCAGGTTTCACACTTGGTGTAGACCCGGGGCTTGGTGAATCTCGCCACGTTACAGCGATAATCCTGGGCGAAGGAAAGGCACCATGGTTTCACCACGAAACAAGAAAGACACAATGATGCTGGGATGGTTTCTTGAGACACAAGAAAGACATTCTTGTGGTTATTTGTGGCTATCGCCCAATCGCGATGTTCCCTCACCAATGAACCCACCATGATGATCTGAGGATTAAACCGTCCATTTTGTTCCAGGGTCCAATCATGTGAAGTTTTGGCTGGCTTTACACCACAATCTTTGACCTTTAGTAACCCCCCAAAAATATAGAACAGCAATCCATGGGTATTTTCTGTTAGGAATGTGCTTTCTTATTTTTTGAGGGTTGCTATATACCTTTACTTGGTCTTTTGTTTGGATCCTCAGCAAACCAAGTAGCACAGCCCGTGTGTGTCTCAACTCCTCCTGAGTGCGGCCGAAGATGCATGAACAACATGTTGAAACATCGTAGTAGTCAAATTGAAAAATCACAAATCATGTGGTTGATAATTATCAAGAAACAATTGTTGAACTATGCTTTCTTAAAAGCAATATTGCTTGGCAATTATCATGTCAGTCCTAAAGTTTCTATTTTTCTTATGTTATTTTAAATAACTGTTTGACATATTCTGATGCTGCTTGGAGAAACCTTTTGACATTTTGGGAAGTTGGGAAATATCCAACTCATAGCCATTCTCTGACTGATTGTCCAAAATCATAGCAACACCTACAGGTCTAGCATTGAACGAGGTTGAGGTCCAAAATTGAGTCTACAAAATCCAACCCTTTGCATTGCACTTTGCATCATCATGTTTCTCAGTAGACGACCGACCAAACACTTGGGCTATCCACCTGGCCGCAGGTCCGGTCCAAGCGTCCATCCATCCGCAATGTGAATCTGGTATTGGAAGTCCATAGTGAGACCTACGGCTGGGTGCAACACGTGCAATGTGAATCCATTGGAAAAACGTCCCCAGTGGATTGACCAAATTATGCCATGGGGAAAATGATGATCAACCATGAGATTTCTGGGGTGTTTTTCCGATTTGGAGAGATCGATGTTACCACGATGTTACCACCCTACCCTGCAGGACCCTGGGGCAAGATGAATCGATTTTCATTCAAACTGTCAGTAGAACCCCCTGACATGTTCTGGCTATCAACCATGAATCATTTAGGGGATAAAATAGAATATATATTGAAGGTTCTTACCCCAATCTTTCTTTGATCGGAATGGTTCGGATCCCCATATAGCTATGACTACCACGCGATCATTTTTGGCTTAATCCGTTCACTTTTGTTGCTGAATCTACCTATTCTTTGAACCAGAATGTTGGATGGTTATCATTAAACCATCAACAGTGGAATTTTTGTTGCAAACCTCAACTGCCAGGAATCTTGGCATATTTTGGCCAGCCCTGCTCCCATCGTTTTCACCATTTTTCACCTCCGTAATGATCGGTGCGAGCTCATCGGGTTCAGCACTTGTCCACCAAGGTAACTCAGCCGCCAAAGGTGACGACATATCAGCATTTTTTTGTACATGTTTCCCGCCCCCCCAAAAAAATTGGGATGAACACCTATGAATTTGCAATATTTTTTTGGCATGAACATTCATTTACGGGGCTATTTTGGTGTGAAAAGAAGGATAATTATCAGGATTCTGACCCATACCCATTTGCGAACTTTTCGATGGCCATGAGATACAGGACTGAAATGGACAGAGTCATGTGTGCATCGAGTCCGTAGAGGAATAGAATAACATGGAACAACCTATAATTAATCTCAATAGATGGCTTTACAGAGGTTATATCCAACCCAGCCCCCTACATTTTGAAATGACAATTTATAGATGACGATATACTTATGAAAAAACAATGGATATCTGTTAATATTATATACGTATGAGATTCCCAAGTACACCCAGCAACAAAAAACAAAACCAAATCCCAAATTCTCATTGAACCTACCAATTTAATTTCTCACGCAGTGTCATGGAAATCTATGGGGTCAGGTCACCCTCCAAACAAATACGGCCTTCTTACGGAGTTGTTGACCCCCCATCACCTCTTTTACACGCTCCGGTAATCAAACATGGCTTGCTGGAAAATTCCCCATTCATAGATCAATTTCTCATTAATCCTACATTTCTAGCGCATTTCCCAGCTTGCCATGTTTGATTACCGGGTACAGGCGCTTTACCCCCGGTTAAAACGGGAGCATTTCCGAGGTACAAAGAGACCAAAGATGCTGAGGGCCATGGTCATCAATGCTCCACAGGCGCCCAGGCCTAACTCCATCGTGGGATTCTCATCCCGAAAAATGGCGAGTCGAAATGCGCAAAATTTCACGGTTTCAAAACAACTGGTTTTACCGTTCCTTGGCATTCCAAAAGCCATTTTGCGGTCCAATGAATTTCGGCCAGTCCCACGACGCCTGCAAACCGTAGACTGTATTCCATCCTTCAAGATCAGGTTCATGACAGCATGGCCCGCAAATGACGACTCCAAAGGTGCTTTTGAAAGGTGTTGCAAATGTGTATAGTATGTATAGTGAAGTGATGTATAGAGTGTATATGTACAATATTGTGCGTGTAGGTGTCTCTGTGTGTGCGTGTTGTATTGTTGTCTGTATACCGGACAAAACACACTCTGATGTGCAAACGGTCCCAACAAATTGCTTGTCACAAAGTGATAGACAAAAAGCTGCCATTCAGGCTGGTGGATCTCCCTTCAGGAGGTTTCCTGAGCCGAGTTTTGGCGCCCAAAGGAATCATCAAAAGTCGAGAAAGTTCAAATCAGACCACCGGCTGATCTCCACCGTGGCTGCAAGATTTTTCCGCAGATCTTTGCCGCCGTTGTTGGCGCAGCAATGCGAAACGAATTCGGAACTAGTTGGGTCTGAAAATGGGATACCCCATGATACCCCCAAAATTAAGGCAAAACCCATCATTTTCCCATCATTTCCCTTATTGGAATGAATTGGAATTGCCTCATTTCAAAGGTGTACCCCATTTTTTGACGACATGAATTGGTAACCAGCATTCAAAACCCGCTGGATTGCAGGGCATCTCCCTGCTCAGGGAAGCTCTGAAGGGCCCCAAAGGTCACCCTCCCATATTTGCCATTCTTCACTAGCCATTATTAACCAATATTGGAGGATGAACCTCATTCGAAACTCTGTTTTTAACTATATTATCCGAGGGGGGCATGGCTCCATGTTTTCATCATGGGATGCTCCACATGACTGGCGATATAAAAATCACAGGCCGTGATCGCGTCAAAGACAGGCACACCACAGACGTGGCGCACGGCATCGGAGTAGGGGGGCAGCTCGGTGCATTCCATGAGGATCGCCCGGACCTGTGATGGTTTAGGGGTCACCATAAAATACGACTGGGTCCTGAAGAGGAGCTTCCCAGATTAGATAGATTAGCTTCCTATAACACATTCAACAATGATTATTGAATATTACTGATATCCGTTTACAATAACTAAATACAGATGTCGATGTCAGCCGGCCTGCGGATGCTTCGTTAAGATTTCCTGCGCTTTCTTCACGATTCCAGGAGTGACCTTCCTCACCTGTCGGATCGAGGTGAACTTTGAAGGGGGCCAGCGTGGTGAAAACTGAGCTTTGGACATGTTAAACCATGATACTCGAAAAAGGAATTCATAGGATTTCTCCCATATTTTTGGGGTTAAATCTACATCCCAAGTTCTGATGGTTTTAAAATGTCTTAAATAATCATCTGTTCTGGTTGAATCATTGAATCCCCCTTCAGGTTTGCTCCCACTCAAGGTACAAGAGGCAAACATTGGGTAAAGAAAGAGGTAAATTTCTCTGATTCCCTCCCATGTGGCTGTCATGTACCATAGTATGCTAGTCAAACCACCATTTTTGATGGATAAATTCCAATTTCTGATGGTATTACATATTAAATGCCCATGTGTCTTGGTTAGCTCATTGAATCACCCCTGAATTCTCATCATTTTACCTAACTGTTTCCCCTGCAGCTAAGTCACATCCACCTTTTGGCCCAGGGCCACAGCTTCAAAGCCCGGTACTTCCTCACAGCCCACAAAGATGTAGCGCTTGTCCTGAAATGCACAGAAGAAAAGGAGGAAAGATGTGGATTAAGGACAAAACATAGAGGATGAAACTTGATGAAACCACGAAACACATTGGAATTAAGCATCAAACCTGGAATCTACCAATTCAACTGATTCACATAGGGGTTTGACCAAGGAGGTTGGGGTAGTTTTAAACACATGGGTGTATATAACCAATCAATGGCCATAGAATGGGTATAAATTTGTAGTTTTTTTCGACCCATGGGTAGTGGAATATGGGTGTGATCGTAGTATACAACCAATAAATTGGGCTATATCAATGATTCATTTTTTTTGGAGGCACATGCTTCATAGATAGTTTGCGAGTTGTGTATAATCAACAAATGTGGGTGTACCCATATACATATAGGATATATGAAGTTCACTTGCTATTGTTGTTGCGGTCTTGTCTCAATGTGTTGCTTGTTTTTTTTGAAGATCATCATACGTGTTACTTGTTACATAGGAATTCATAAATGTTATATGATTATCCGTGCATGTATGTACATATTTGTGTATAGCATAGGGAAAAATACATCTCATATACCCTCTGGTAATTTAACATAACTATGGAAAATCACCATTTTTAATGGGAAAATCCACTATAACTGGCCATTTTCAATAGCTACGTTAAATTACCAGAGGGTACACCAGTATCTAATCTGGTGAGTAAGCCACCCAGTCACCATCCCAGGTCTCCTTCACATCCACGCCGCACTCCGCCTTGATGAGTTGCTCCATACCTGAAAAACGACATCGGCTGACTTCCCAACGATTGAAAACCATCAATAATGCGACAAATTCATCAAGCAATTTGGTGCTAATCTTGAAAAGTGTAAAACATCTAGAAACTATAACCTCAGTTGACTCAGTTGTATACTCTGCAACCAAAACTGGGGCGATTTCACCAACGTTTTTTGGGGTACACCACATTACTGGGGTTACAACCCCTTCCACGGAAACAAACTTGATACGCTGGCCGGCTTCACACTTCCGCCTCCACATCAATCTGGGTCTATCTCAAAATGAGGTAACGACCCCGAAATTTGGATGGTTTCTTATCTTTCTCCCGATTGAAACATCAAATAATCATATATATATGTATATATATATATTATATGTATATATATATATTATATTATATTCTCATATCTTCTCGGTCTAAATTCCACCTTCGGAAAAACACACATAAAATGACATCCCCAAAAAATGGGTTGGTTTTCGGGCTTTTTGATCTCCATTCTTTTGCCAAACCAAACATTTTCGCCAAAGATACCCAGCAAGGACTGGCCGTTGGCAGTGAAAATGGCCACCTGTTCATCTCTGGTGTAGGATGCCGTGATGGCGGGTAAGGTGGCCAATGAAGACATGATCACCTCGGTGGAAACATGGACGACCTGACCGCAAGGGACACCAGCAGGGACACCATGAATTTCCGCAGACTTGACATCATCGTTTTCCTTCCAAGATCAGTGAATGAAAAATCGTACTATATCATACTAAATCCACATATATCAACATATATCCACATATTCATGGCCTTTCACAACTTTCTCCCATCTATGAATCCACAAGGTCCCCTGGTGTCAAAATCTCCCAGGCGCTGGGAGCTTGGTATTGCGCCGAGCCAGCTCCTGTAACCACATCATGAAGCCGCAATCGCCGGTAATCACCTGGGACGCAACAAGGGTGGTGTTTCAACCGTTTCGACCAGTGGTCATCTAGGTGGGTTATGTTTGAATCCTTTCTGAATATGAAATACCTCGAATGTTTGGGGTATGGTGGTTGAATCGTCACAAGTGAGGTAGTCAGACTACCTCAGTATCCCCAAACTATGATGGAACATGGAACACAAACAGCATTAACAAACCAGCTTACATCCTTACATCCCCATTGTTGATTAGATTCCTGCTCTAGGCGGATGCTCGCCATGGCAAGTTGCAGAGACGCCTTTAGCTTCCAGATCTTTGATTCCTGCGGCACACTTTGATTTTCAGGTTGACAGATAAACATTGATTCCTTCCATCCAAAATTGAAGAACAAGCCATCTGAGGCCTTGTAAGGCAAGATCAATCTGTGGAGAGTGAAAGTGAAATCATGCACTTTCCCAATCTCCCATGGTGCTTATCATGTATGGCTGGAGCAACCCAGCTCCATTTCCATGATATTCCCTATCTCCACTACATCCCAGTTACATTCCCAATGCCTAATGCCATTACACGTGGTCTATACAATGTTTATACCTCCATTACAGCACCATTCTTGTTGGCTAAACCAGCATCTTCTAGTGATATTCCCATCACATCTACATGGTTATAACTAACAAGATTATGATACAACTGAAAGATATCTTGTTGGTTATATCAGTTATATCCCCATTGAACCAGCATTATCTCCAGCACGGTTTCTGTACGTCACATCCGGGCGAATAGGCCTTGCAAGAAGGCCGTTTCAACTTCGGGCGTTAACTTTCCGGCTTGGCACATCTCGAAGGTCAGGCCCTTCACCTGGGGATGACCATCGCCAGATCTTGTGAAATCCAGGAGACTTGGAGACTTAAAAAAAGCAAGTGACTGCAACTTGCATCTAAATTAGATCACATATAATAACATATAATCATGAATCATATATTTGAATCAGAGACAAAAAACTGAGACAATCAGATATTGTGGAATATAGCTATCCCGGCTATCCCCGTTCAGCTTGAGACATTTGTCCCCGTTCCAATGTCCAACGCTGTTGCCTGGGGATGCCTGGGGCATCCAAGCACCATTGGGCAATAGAGTGCCAAGCAGCCATATGATAGTGAACCTCATAGGGGTAACTGCCTGCCACCAGGGCATGGGGCCACGTTGAAAATCACCAATATTAGTCACACAGCCTCTTAATAACCAATAATCACCAATATTAAGAGTTATCACCAAAAATTCATCCCCCTAATATTAATGGTATTTTAAACCAGCCTCCAAAAACGTGACCAAACAGCTTTTTCCATGAGGATTTACACATCGTAAGTTTCATGTTTCGTGCCTGGATGGTCAACATCCCCTGGTGCTGGAGGGTAGTGATAATCCAAGCGGATCACCCCCAAAGTGATACCAGCCCTTTGGCTGCGGACCATCATGGACACAGCCTCGGTGAAACATGGTGGGACACCGACTCCTGTTCCCATTGAAAAACATGAACGAAACGGAACGAAAGGATGTTGAGAATGATGTTTTTTTATCCAGTTTTGGTACATCTTCAAGTTGTGTTTCCCCAAAATGAACCATAAAAAGCCAACCCTGCGATTCACCATTGCAAGTGGTGCTACCATCTTAACCAGCGCATACCAGCGCTATCTCTTTTGGGGCGAATCACCCAATCAGCGGAACAGGGGAGCCGATCCTCAAGCGATGGCACACAAAAGGCCAGGAAACCGCTTGTTTCGAGGTCTCATAGATTTGCATGGCGATGTCCGTGACTTTCAAAGTATCTAAGACCTTGGTGTTTTTTCGGCACAGATGGGGATCTGTTGGTAAAGCTAACCCCTTTGAAAAAGCTGAAAGTCATTGAGAAATCCCAAAGAAATGAAAACTCAGAAATGTGTGAAACCAACCAGTCTTTGATATCTTTGATGGGAACTGGTTTCAAGACGAGTCTTACCAACATGAAACAATAAGTCACCATCACCCCAATGAAATCCATAGCTCCCAAGGCACCGGTTTCACAATCTCGGTGGCACCTGAAACGAGCTGTCCAAAGTTGAACTCGGGTCGCTTCCCCTGCCGACATCATTAAGAAAGGCACCGGTGGTAGGATTGTCCGAATCCGATGACAGCGGATTTGGCGATAAAGGGGAATGTAGGGGAAGTTGTTTCGGAAAGCCCTTCGAAAAAGTCACCCAAAAGCACTTCGACCGCCCAAATTGTGGGACCTGCAATCTTCGCGACGCTCGGAAGCTCGATTTGCTGGTCATGGCTGTGCCCGTGCCTGCTTTGCGTCATCCCAATCCTTCACGCCAAAACGCGGATTATCCAAATGACTGGTGATGTAGAAGTCGCCTCAGGCTTGAGAAACTCTCGCTGCGAGTCGCAACAGTGGGGGGTGTCCCTTAAAATTGGAAACCCCATGCCCCATGCGCTATACTATAGTTGAAAACATCATGCTTCCACATTAGAAAGGTTTTCAAGTGGTTACTTATTGTTGCTTGTATTGTTTGATTTTCAGTCAAACCTGCATGATAATTTTGACCGAGGTGTAACTTCAACTGTGTTTTCACCAGCAGTTAAGCAGCAACCCGGCCTGGTAAAAAAACATGGTAAATTGGCAAATGGAAGTCCTTTCAATCAAACCATCCCATAAAACACCGATCTACGAGATCTTCCAGACTTCCAGACTGACCAAAGGGCACATCCATGACCCTCAAGCGTTCCATTGCGATCAGCCCAGAGACACAGGTTCAACGCATCAAAGACTGGCCTCAGGCAGGATATCTCAGGTTGCATTCTTTGGGATCCCATGAAATAAGGTCCTAAAAGATGTCCTAAGTGAGATAAACTGAATACTTTTGGGCTATATCGGCTATATCATCCTAAGATATCCCAGTTCTATGAGAAGTTCTATGCTTTTGCACTTGGATGACCCAGCTATTGTTACTGGATCCAAACTGGGCCCAGGCCAGCGGAACGTTGCCACATCTTGGTTTGCTCAGGACATTTGGACATATTCCAAAAAATATTCCTGGTTGGTGGTTGAGCCTACCCCTCTGAAAAATATGAAAGTCAGTTGGGATGATGATTCCCAATACATAGGAAAACAACAAATGATTCCCTATATGCTCCCTATTTCTTGAATTTCTTTTGCGGACTCAGCAGATACCCAGATGAAAAGGTAGCTTTTCAGCATCCCTTGGGACGGCGGGTTTTCCCGCCTGAACGTGGCTTTCCGCAAGGCTTTAGCATAGCGAGGCAGTTCGGTGCTTTCCAGTAGGAATGCTCGAACCTACAGTATCCAAAGATCGACAAATGGTCAAGAAACATAAATCGATGGTCAAGAAACATGGGTATGTCACTATGTCACCATTTGACAAATAGGGTGTGTGGATATTGAGGAACAAACGTCCAAATTGTGCAAGGGAAGAAAACCTTAGAAGGAAAACACACCGTGCAGGTGCCACTGATCTTGGTTCACGGTTGGAAAAACGTCGCTTTGAAATAGATTTACCCAAACATATCCAGTGCGCCCCTATGTTTGCACTGGTAAATCATCATTCTTACATCAACATATATCAACATGATACAAACATAAACCCAATAAAACATCCCATGACCATTTTTGTAGGGATTGCCATTGGATTGCCATCCGATGCGCCTGAGGATGTTCTTCCAGGACTTTGGTCGCCTTCGCCACGAGTCCTGCCTCCATTTTGGCGGCGTCATCGTGTTGCCCGCTGGAGATCTGGTGGAAACCTGGGATATCTTCGCAACCCACCTCAGTGAACTGTTTTTGGGCTGAAAATCATGAAAAATTATGAATTTTCAATTAATATGGAGTATAATATATATATATAAGTTATATAGAAAGGGAAGTGCTAGTGGCAAAATGATATTTGGCCTGGTGACCTGTAGTGTGATGCATTCAATGTGACCACTTACCATGCGGTACAGTGCAGCACCCTGGGAGTTTTGACTAGCGCTACAAATCTTCACATGGCAGGGTCTTGTTCATAGAATGTCATGAACTGGATTCTGAAGTCAAAGCTTTGGAAGAGCAAAGAGAAAAGGATCGCGTTCTCTGATTTAGATGGGTGACCCTATGTCCAACCGATCTTAATGAATAATCTCTGCAGAGAATAAGTTGGAATCAAACGAACTGATCAGCTTAACATTTGGGTTTCTCCAAAAAATCTGGCACCCCTTGAATGATTGTCAATCATTGTTCATCGTCATTTTCGCAATGAAACTGGCCCATTTTGTGGGGCCAGGCTGCAAAGACGAACCGCTGGTCGTTGATGTCGACGCTACATTCGTCGTGGATCAACGTGGCCATGGGTTTCAAGAGCTGACTGTCAGCTGTCAATACTGCAATCTTCTCATGTGCACCTTGTGGAGGTCCAAGGGTGCAAGGGGATGGTTTCAAGAAGCCATGGAGTTTCCAAATTTTCAATGGCCGTAACAATAATATAAATAGGTAAAACACAATTTTGACCAATACCGATGTAGTAGTGAATTAATTAAGACAAATCAAACCTCTATCCATCTTCTATCCATCTCTCCACCTATACATCTATACATCCTTATCTAACTACCTATCTATATATATATATCTATATCATCAATTATCATCATGTAAACATATATCTAAAACTAAGTTCTATATCTATCTACACATATCTATCCCATGTCCCTAAATCCTCCTCCATCTCCCGGGTCCGGGCCGGAGCACCATAGGAGCAGGTGATGGAGGGCAGCACGGCCAGGGAGCTGAGGATCACTGGGAGCTTGGTGCTCTTCCGGGCCAGGGATTGGAACCACATCATGAAACCCGTGTCGCCACAAATCACCGATGCACCTGCTGCCTTGGACTTGGTGGGCTGCTGGGGCTAGGTGTTGGAAGTTGTGGGGAAGTTGGAAGTTACCAGATGAATCAGTTGCTGCAAATTGTTTTTTTTTGTGGATCTGAAAAAAACAGATCACTGAAAATGGATGGGTGGTGACTGGTTGATACGTATGTATATATATATATAGATATATTATATGTTTTAATATATATGTATATGTATATGTATATGTATATGTATATGTGTAAATGTATATATGTATATATATATGTATATATATATGTATATTTACATTATGTGTATAGATTTACATTATGTGTATATATATATATGTGTATATATATATGTACACATATATATATATGTATATCTGTATATATATATATACTGTATATATATATATATGTATATATATGTATATATATGTATATATATGTATATATATATATATCACATATGTATAATATAGCTGGATTCATTGATTGGTTTTGTATTTTACAAGGTCAGCCACCAATGTACTAACAATGGGGGTAGAACCGTTCAGCACTCAGCTCTTTTGAACCAACGCTATCGGGCAGATCGATGATATATATACAATACATGGTTTTACTGCAGGAGTTTTTACACCCCCCTCGGGCGAGCAGGGACGACTGCGGAGAACGAATAACCCAGAAAAGCATACCCTCGCGGGTAGCCAAATTTCTTTAGTTGGTTTTAGACATTTTGTGCAGTCTTTCAAAGGTCCCTCTAAAAAGCTCAAGCCCGTAAAACCCAGCGCAGCGTTGCAAGGAAGGCACAATACCATGCCACATCTTGCGCTATGCTACAAAAGAAAATCATCGTCTCCCTAACGGTTCCAAAAGATCCAACGGCCGCCGGCCTCGTCACGGTAATACCAAGCCCCACGCCAGAAACTCCATTCTCGGCGTGCACCATAGTGATCACGATTCCAACTCCAAGAGGCATCCGGGCGACCGGAGCTTGCAGCCTTCGAAGTGACTCCTGCGGTTGCTGCTTTTGCAGTGGGCGGTGTCTCAGGCTCCAAGAATGGTCGTGCTCCTGCTTTGGATGTTGGTGGTTCGGGTACCAGAAATGGTGCGGCTGGGGCATCAGCGTGCGAGGCATCTGCGCGAGCAGAGCTTGAGGCGGCTGTGACATCTGTTGCGGTTGCGGATGCATCAGCTTCGGCTTTGCGCTTTCGCTCAATGGGGGGCGCGACCGTGGGGTCGGCCTTATGACCTCCAGGACCTCCAGCCTTTGCAGCGGCGCTCTGCTTCTCTTTGCGTTCAAGATTGCTCCGAACCAAGGGAAGGTTTTCCTCATACACCTTTTCGAGGAAATCACGAGTGCCATCAAAAGGGACTTGGACAGTACCCTTCCAGGTCAACAGGCCACGGAATGCGCCACGACGGCCGATGTAGCTGACATATTCATCCTCTGTAAAAATGTGGCGGCCAAACATGAAACCCCAGACCTTCTTCCATGTTTTGCGGAACTCAACTGGGAAGCCATCAACGCCACGAGGCTGAGACATGAAAATCAACTTAGATAAGCAGTTCTCATTTTGGGCATTGGCGGCGACGCCAGCCGAGATCTGAGCTTTGGTCCTTGGGGGATCGGGGAGGTTGCCATATGCGAACATGTCGTCGAATATGCAGTCCTGCAGGTCCTTCCCCTCACCGTGGATGCGGTCGCAAAAAGTGACGTCGCTGGAGTATCTGTCTTCCACGTCCTCGTAGCCCAGCGCTTTTGCACGTCGATGCCTGTCGCGGCAGTCTTTGAGGACTGCTGATTCCACGGATGTGATTCCCCTGGGGCCCAGTTCTCGGCGTAGCAGGTTGGCTTGCTCTTCCGTCAAGGCTGTCAGCAAGCTTCCGCTCATCTTCCCAAACATTCCGAACCCGGCGAGACTTTGCATTCGCCGTTCAAGGATACGGGTCCTCCTGTTGGGTTTGTTGGCCTCTTTTGTATCGCCACTTTCGTCCACTGGGAGTGGCTCGAACCCACATGTGGTGCATGTCACTTGGCCACTGACGTACTCAACCTGGCAGAGGGGACAGGAGCCCATGAAAGGTTCGCAGTACTTGGGTGCAATGTAAACACGGCGCGTCCTTGCGGGCGGCTGGTCAACTTGCATTGGGGCAGTGGCTGCATCATCATCAGTGGACTTGGCATCGGGTCGCCCCGTGCTGGTGTCATCCATTGGGTCGTCATTTGCATCATCTCGGGCAGTCAGGGTGACCGCTTTGGATTTCGGTGCTGAGGCTGATGCCGCGCCAGTCCATGAGCTGGGCTCGAGATTGCTCTCGGCGCGGGTCCAAAGCACCTGTCCATCTTCTGAGATGCTGACCAGAAACTGCGGTGGGATGCGTTCTGAGCACAAAATCCCATCCATTTCTGTGCGACTAAAGATGACACCAGCTTCAACTGCTTGCCGCATTGCGATTTTGACTTCGATTGGACATTTTGCTCTTAATCCAGATCGATACCCCTGCGTGCCAATACAGTGTTCTGCCATGTAGATATGAGCACGGCCACTGTTGACTGTTGCACCGCCGCCTGGAATCAGGCCGTTCTGTGCGATGCTCTTCCAGCTGCTTTTCATCGTGCGATGGAAGACAACCTCAGGAACCTCAGTCATGGCACACAGGGGCACGCCAGTGAAGGCGGCTTTTCGCTCGGGGGATACATGGTCTGAGCAATACACCATGGTTGAATTGGCATAAAGACCCCCTGCGGTTTTCAAGGCAGCTTCGGAGTGACCCTGAATTGCACGGATTTTCACAGGATAATAAGGCATGCCTAGGCCATTGTCGACAGGAAAATGGGAGATCTTTGCACACAAGAATTGGAACCTACTCTTGCCATGCTTGTCGATCTTCATTGCGGTGCCAAACAGGTTTGCGACAGTGATGAAAACATCTGGGGGCACTTCCTTGCGGAAGGCTTTGGCAAAATCCTCCAAGTCAATCCAAAGGTCTTTGTCCATTGGCACCTTGGCACAGGATCCATGCCCCCTGCAAACTTTGTTGACACGAGTCGCAAAATCAGAAAACTTCTTGTCGACGCGAGTCTGGCTGGCAATGGTCTCAACGTCGGATGCCGATATCAGCTCCAGCTCATAAGCCGTACCTTCAAAGAGGATGCCAGGCACATCGTCCCCGTCTGCATTGGTCACCATTGTATATTGGTATTCAGGCAAATGCTCTTCCATCCAATATGCTTTCACGTGGCCAGATGCTTGTCCCTCTAAGCGCGCAGTTGCCTGCGGCTGGTACTGGCTGGATGTGGCTCCCTTGTCATCTGCGGGCTCATCCACCGGTGCTGGTGCTGCTTTCGGCCGCGACTTCAACATGACCTCAGCTGTTTGGACCAGGATTGTTGCTCTGCTGGATGCAGCGGGCTCGCCGTCGCCGGCGGCCTTTGGAGGGTCATCTTTGGGAGGCTCAGCGAACGTGCCCGAAGGCATCGTCTTGATGTCGATGTAGTCCTCAGTGTCAGGTTGTTGAGCTTCGACGTCCTCCTTGGTGAATGACCTGCCCGTCGGCACAATGTGTCTTCGGGACTCTCCAAAAAGCAACTTGGTGATGTTTGCACATGTCTCCTGATAGGATCTTGGCAGCTCGTCCAGGACGGCGCTCATGTTCCTCCGCAAATCATCCCATGTCTCCTGGGCACACTCAGAAAGCTCCAAACCAATTTGGCCGACACGCCATCCGGAATCAAGTGCGAAAAGGGTAGCTGTCCAATAGGCAGCAAGGCGCGTGCGATTTTCTTCAGAGTTGGCGAAATGCCACTGGTCTCTGAATTCCATTGCATCGGCGTCCCCCTTTGCTTTTAGCCACGGATACCGCGGATTGGCACGCCCTTGCAGGCTGCTGGTTAGAGCTTTGAATCGGGGCTCCAAATGGTCGAAAAATTGATCGAAGATTGGATGAATGCCGTAATCTGCGCTCCAGGGCGCGGTCGTGAGACCGGCCGTCTGCAAGTCCAACTCCCGGGCCTTGTTGATGAACCATGTCAAGTGGCGCTCACAATCATCCAGGATCGTGGGCCAGTGCCCGTTGGGACCATCGTACGGCCAATTTGGATTTTGGGCAATTCCATCCTCTCCTACCAATTCATTTCCGAACCAGGACAAGTGCAGGTTGATGCGTGCATGAGGATAGCGCTCGCGGGCGTCCGCGGCCAATTCAATCCCACGCTTGACCAGCTTCTGCAAAGTTTTGCCCCAAAGCATCTCATGGATGAACTCAGTCACGTACTTAGGTTTGCGCTGCCGGTAATGCTCGGACAGGTCAAACTTCTTAAGTGTTTTCCTACGCCCTGTGATCAATGCACATGACGAGTCAGAGACTAAGATCCAGATTACATCATTGACGGGCATCTCTGGCAACATGATCTTTTCAATGTGGGACTCCTTTGGCAAAAAGCAGAAACTAAGGTATTCTGCAAGCGGATCCTCTCGACCATAGAACCTCAGGGCCGAAGCCGGCGTCCATTCGGTCATCAAACCATCCACAAGGTCCTGAGCAGCCTGATTCTCACCTTCATTGCGCATGGCCAATGCATACAAAATGCGATTGTGAAGGAGCAACCATGCTTCTTTGTTAGCCTCACGTGTGGCTTCGAGCGCAGCCTCGCGGCTGGCCGGGTGTGCTGTGGCATATCGTGAGTCAGCCATTTTTGCAGGACAGGCACGAATGACAACGGGTGAAATCCTTTTGGATGTTTGGCCCACCACAGCTACCCGGAAACACTCATGGAGCATGTCAGTCACTTCAAGGTATAGTTCTCAGCAAGTTTAAGAGCTTTGCCCCTACTTTGATCATGCTCATGTTTGCCATCACATTTGAATGAGTCTAACACGGTGAGTTCTTTAAAATTTCCTGCAATAGTCCAACTTTTCTTCATTGGTTGACCGTTGTTTCCAAGAACACCCAACATACAACCATCAAAGTGATGAGTAGTCATGGATCGTTCTTTGAGGAATCTTCTAACCATCGGCCATCTCCAGT